TGATCCATTCTAATGAATGAGCATGGCTATGCTCCAAACCTCAAAACCAACCGCCTGCGATATTCTGTTTGTAGAGATCCAGATCTTCTTACATCTCAGGCTGATTTCGTGGGTGCTCAGAGTGGTCTGGTAGATATCTAGCTCAATTCCGGGGACCAGTTGAAATAGGGTCCCCTACTCCTCCGCCATCTTTCCTTCCAAACCATGTCAGCCTTTAATAACTATATAATACCTATTTGTATTTGCTTTTCCCCTCACAATTTGAAGCATTGAAGAAATAGTAATTTTTTATTCAATTGTTTTTCTTTTTTTTGGTATTTATTTATTTGACACAGAGAGAGAGAGAGACAGCGAGAGAGGGAACACAAGCATGTGGAGTGGAAGAGGGAGAAGCAGGCTTCCCGCTGAGCAGGGAGCCCGATGTGGGACCCGATCCCAGGACCCTGGGATCATGACCTGAGCTGAAGGCAGACACTTAATGACTGAGCCACCCAGGCGTCCCTCAATTTTTTTTTCCTTAAAAAATATTTATTAAATGAACAAACCACATTATAACAATGTAATTTTTAAAAATGTGAATTAAAAATTATAATATGCCCACCATAATAAATCAACTTTATTTTTCCATATTCTCATGTAGTCATTTTTCATATGCATGGATACTTTTATTTTATTTATTCATTTATTTATTTTTAAAGATTTTATTTATTTATTTATTTGAGAGAACGAGAATGAGAGAGAGAGTACATGAGAGGGGGGAGGGTCAGAGGGAGAAGCAGACTCCCTGCTGAGCAGGGAGCCTGATGTGGGGACTTGATCCCAGCACTCCAGGATGACCTGAGGCGAAGGCAGTCACTTAACCAACTGAGCCACCCAGATGCCCTGCATGGATACTTTTAGACTAGGGCTCTGCAAAGTTTTTCATAAAAGACCAGAGAATGGTATCTTAGCTTTGCATGTCACTCAGTCTCTGTTGAAACCACTCAACTCTTGTTGTAGTGTGAAAGCATCCATAGCCAATACATAAATGAATGAGCATGGCTATGCTCCAATAAAACTTTATTTACAAAAGTCGGTGGCCAGCCTGTGTTTGCTAAACCCTATTTTAGACAGTCATTCTTATAATTCAGATGAAACTATTAGCCTGGCCATTCCTGAACCAAACTTCCAACTTCCTGAAGCTGTTTTAAATTTTTAATTATTTAATTTTCACTTGTTTTCCCCAGATCTTTCTTTACCATGCTACAATTATGGAGCTGAAGTCCCCTGATTGATGTGTTTTTAGTAATGCAATATATTCAATGCACTTACTGATTATAAAAATACAGGATTTTGTTTTATAATGGACTTTAAGGATGACTCTTAAAAGAAAAATAGTCATCTGCAACCTCACACCATAGCAAAAGATTTATGATCTTTTTCTGCCTTGGTCTATGAGCATATTTTTGATGATTATATTAATGGAAAAGATGATATAGCAAGAGTAATTTTGGAAAAAAAATCACCTCTAGTTCCACTAACCGAACAGATACAGTTTTAGTTCTTGTCCACCAGCAAATATATTTTTATATGGCTGTAGTTATGTACATCTATCCTTTTATTTTATTTTAAAGATTTTATTTATTTATTTGACAGAGAGACACAGTGAGAGAGGGAACACAAGCAGGGGGAGTGGGAGAGGGAGAAGCAGGCTTCCCGCGGAGCAGGGAGCCCGATGCGTGGCTTGATCCCAGGACCCTGGGATCATGACCTGAGCTGAAGGCAGACGCTTAACGACTGAGCCACCCAGGTGCCCCTAGTTATGTACATCTATCCTTTTAAAATATGTTTTTCATTTCTAATGAACACGTATTCAAAGTTATATAAGCTTGTCCATATTTTTAATCTTCTAAAGGAATTTCAAAATGCATTTACCCTATTCAGTATAGCCCCCTCTTCATCATTCTGAGGCAGCTTAAGTCAGTCATTTTTTTACTTGTATATTTTCACTTTATGCTATGAAGAATTCTATTTTTTTCATTTTTTTTTTTTTACTATGAAGAATCTTAAATGCACAGGAAGGTTGAAAGAATAGTATACTGAACACCTACATACTCACCACCTAGATTCAGCAATTTATATTTTATACATACACACACATAATTTTTTTCTCAATCATTTGAAACTGAAGGGCAGACATTGTAATACTTCATTCCTAAGTACTTCAGTAGGTATCTCCTAAGAATAAGACTGTTTCCATGCATAACCACAATGTCATTATCACATTTAAGACAACGAATAATGATCTCTTCTATCATCTAATATCTAGTCCATATTCAAATTTCCTCAATTGTTCCCAAAGTATTATATCCAATAGTTCTATTTGGAACCAAGACCCAATTGAGGTTTGTATCTTGCATTTGTTAATTTGTCTTTTCAGTCTCTTTTATTTATGTATGTATTTATTTAAGATTTTATTTATTTATTTGTCAGAGAGAGAGAGAATTAGCAGGGAGAGAGGCAGGCAGAGGGAGAGGGAGAAGCAGGCTCCCTGCTGAGCAAGGAGCCCAATGCGGGGCTTGATCCCAGGACCTGGGATCAGGACATGAGCTGAAGGAAGATGCCTAACTGACTGAGCCACCCAGGCGTCCCTGAATCTCTTTTAAACTAGAAGAGCATCTTGACGTTTTTAACCATGACATTGACAGTGATTGGGATGATTGTCTTTATTCCACAGTCTGGGTTTGTCTGATTGTTTCCTCGTGGTGTCATATAGATTATTTATCCCCTGGACTTCCCATACACTGTGCCCTGAGTCTAAAAGTGAGGTAGATTCAGGTTAAACCTAAAATGGGGGAAATATTTCACCATTCACTCCTATCAACTTTGATCCATTAGACATTCTCTTATATTTAAAAATATGTTCCATGTGGCATGGTAGACGAGATCTGCTTTGTAATCAAAAAGGTTTTACAGCAGGAGACCTTGGGAAAATGACTGAACTTCTTTGAGCCTTAGTCTCCCCATATGTGAAAAAGGAAGTGGTAGACATTCAGTAAATGTTTGCTCTCTTCCCCTAGTCTGTCGGTTTTTCGGGATCTCACAAAGCACCACCAGGATAGATATCTCAGGCGCACCTGAAGAGCTCACGTTTCCTAAGTAAGACAACAGCAGCAAGACAGCCATCATTTCTGTGGAGACAATATCATCATAATGCACTATTAGCTACTGTGATCTTCCATCATTTCCTTCCTGGAGAGTTATGACTGTGGCATTGAGGATTTAAGACCTACAGCCCGAATACTACTTACTACAAATCTCTCACAAAGCTGCTGCAATAAATCTCGTAGAGGAAAGTCATTGCATAAAAAAACCCCCAACTCCAGGGAGCGGGCCATTTATTTTCCTAGGAAAGGACTGTGATGAGAGACACTCCATGCTCCTTTAACTCCATGGAACAGAACCCAACAAAGCATTCATCATAGTAAGTTGAGTGATGAGCCCAGTGAGAAAAGCTGGGGAAGGAGGTTGGTAGGGGAAGTGCCCCCACCCAAGGCCTGCTCAGGGATCCCCCCTCCACCCTGCCATCTGGGGATCAGCTCTGCATAGAACCAGCACAACTGAAGATATAGTTCCTGAAGTCCAACTACCTTTACCCGATATAAAGCCAGCAGTCTAAACTTGGGCCCAATCTACTCCACAGATTTATTTAGTCTGCATAGTGTTTAAAAATGTTTTTTATTTGGAGCCCAGCATTTGAAATTTGAAAATGTCACAGAGAAAGATAAAATCCAGATTTCTGGCATCTCTAAACAAATTGGAATATCCAACCACAGTGGTTGAGGGCCCTGCATTCCTGCCCCCTGTAGGCTGTGTGAGTAGGCACCTGTTTGCCAGGCCACTTCCCCTTCTACCTTATCTGCTTTGCAAGCGATGGAGTTTGCACTCCCCATACTAATCTGTTGCCCTGGGGTCCATTCTCTCACCTTCTACTCCCACCGCTGTTCTTGTATCAAAGTGTAGCCCTTAAATACAAAATACATGGGGCGCCTGGGTGGCTCAGTCCATTGGGCATCTGCCTTCGGCTTGGGTCCTAATCCCAGCATCCTGGGATCGAGCCCTGCAGTGGGCTCTCTCCTCAGCCAGGAGCCTGCTTCTCCCTCTCCCTGTGCCCCTCCACCCTGCTCGTGCTCTCTCTCACTCTCTTGCTCTCTCTTTCTCAAATAAATAAATAAAATCTTAAAGAAAAAAGAAAATACAGCTGATTGATCCTTCTTCAATCATGATCTTGTACACAATCCAGAGATATTTCTAACATGGCAGGGAGACAGCCTTGAGTAAAGCAGAGAGCATAGGCTTTGCTGACAGGCAGACTTCAGCTCAGATGTCATCTCTCCCTTACCGTGGGATGTTATCTAACTCGCTAAGTTCCTCTTGAAACTTTGCTCAAGTTTGCTCATAGCAAAACAGCTATACTAGGGTCTCCCACTTTGGGAGACACCTTGGATGTGTCATCTTCTCCCATATTCTGTGACCTCACGCTCTCTTGGTTCAGTCCTTTCCATGGCTTCTTTGCTTCATATTTTCTGTCTTCTTTGAAGGCACCCCTTCCTGCAACATTCCATAGATGTCAGTGTTCCTCAGCATTCTGTCTTTGACATGGATCCCCGCTACTCTCACCTTTTCTCAATCTAATGGTGGTACAGACACACAAATTGATAAGCAGATTACAGCACAATATGATTTCGTTTGCCTTTTTTTTTTTTTAATTCAGTCTCCATAGAGACTGTCAAAAATTGTCAATGTCCGCTGTATTTCGAGTCGTCACGGTGGGGTATTGGGAACATTTTTCAATTAGCAATAATCGCGCCTTGGATAAACCTCATTGGCTACAATACTGCCACTGTGCAAAGCTTGTTTTACTTTTTTTCCTTCTTTAAAGTTTTATTTACTTAACTAACCTCTACACCCCAGGTGGGGCTCAAACTCACGACCCCAGGATCAAGAGTCACACGCTTTTCCGGCTGAGCCAGCCAGGTGCCCCGTTTTGCCTTTTTTTTTTCCCATTTATAATTACATAAACTTTTATTCTTTGCTGAGCACATTCTTCAAAGGGAACATTTAATGGCTGCACAATATTCCATTGTGTGAATAAATGATAATTCACTTAATCATTCCTCTAACATTGGCCAGTTAGGTTGTTCTAATTTTGAAAGGTGAGAAAGCCAAGAATGTGTTCTTATATGTGACATCTTGCTTTGGGATTATTTCTCAGTCTTATGTTTTTTTTTCCCACTACCTCCCTTTTGGACCTCTGTTCTTCTCTCCTCTTTCTCCTCATCAGGGCCGTCATGTTTCCAGAAGTTTGAAGTGTTTTCTTTGATGTCCACCTGAAGGAGAGAGCATGATGTCAATGAAGAAAATAGCCCTATCTGTTGACAATTTACTTGGCAGAAAAAGCCTACGTAAGCCCAGTGTCCATTTGGAACTGAGGAGCACCAGCTTATGTGTAGCTCTTCTCAAGGTGGGTTTAAAAAGATGAATGTCTAGGAGCTTTACAAGTATGTGACATCCAGGTGGGGCAATGTCTGTGAAAGTGGGGATAGGTTTTCTTTGCTCATCTGGCAAGTCCTGGCCCAGAGTTAGAGAAAACAGCATCTAGAGTAAGGAAGAAGTCCCCATCCAGCTGAGAGAAAAGGTTAATTTGGAAGTAAAGGAGGAAGTGTTGGATCAGTTAATGAATTTTAAGTGCCCACTCCATGCCCGGTGTATTGAGCAGACTGTGCCATTGGTCCAGGACTGCCTGGCTGCTGAATGGAAGCTCACTGATAAAAGTGAGAAATATAAAGTCAGGTTTGTTAGGGAAGTAGGATGTAGCCTCAACTGTAGGAAAGGCTGCCAAAAAGGAAGCAGTGGGTAACTGGCTTTTTTGTGACAATTGGGCTGTTGGTAACTCGGTTGACTAGCTGGATGGCTCTCCTGAGACTCTACCTCTCCTGATGGAGCGATGTCCCACCCAGGGTCACTAGGGTAAATGAATGAAGACAAACAACAATCTTACATGAAGTGTTTTTGGAGACTTTATTGTCCATTGCGAAGCCAGCACAGAAGTAGGCAATGAAATGTTTCAAGGTCAACTCAAAGTAATAAGCCTTTTACTCACAAAGTTTTTATGGGTTAATTCCTTTCTCCTCTTTGTAATATCTTCTTTCACTCGCCACCAAATTTAGCATCCCCTTCCTGTTGTAGATTAACAACTGTATCCTGTAAGTGGGACTATTACCAAAAGAGGCAGAAAGAGGAGCATTTGCTATTTTTCTTTGAAAAGCCCATTTACAGGCTCTTTCTCTTATGATTGCATCTCAAGAAGTCAGTAGAGAGATCTGGGCTTTCCTGACATCTTGGAACCAATGATACTTCTTAAATGCATATGATTCTTTACCAAATTTGAACAGCAGAACCCTATAAATTTTACCAAGTAAGAGAGAAGTAAAACTTCCTCACTGGTTAACGAAATGGGCTGTAAAAAAATGTCTCCAGCCAAGAAAGAGCACAGACCTGCCTTCAGCTGCTTCTATTCTTTAAAATTAAAAATGCAGCACGTTCGAGATGCCTGGGTGGCCCTGGGTAGTTAAATGTCTGACTGTTGGTTTTGGCTCAGCTCATGATCGCAGGATCGTGAAATAGAGCCTTGCATCGGGCTCCCCGCTGAGCAGGGAGCCTGCTTAAGATTCTCTCTCTCTCCCTCTTGCTCTGCCCCCCCCCCCGCCATAAATCAATCAATCAATCAGTAAAATGCAGCATGTTAGGGAAAGTACTAGGAAGGCAGAGTTTCTTGTCTGTCTTATAGGCTGGGACAGTACAACTAAGCTCATTTTTGCTTGGGTGTCCTCCTTTTAAGCCTGAGGAAAATCTGTGGGTCTGTTACAAAGGCAATAGACAGTGGAGGGAGGATTAAGCCTATTTTTGCATTGAGAAGTCCTATTTCTGCATTTTGAAAAGGTTTCATTTTTTTTTCCAGGATAGCTTGGAAAAGAGAATAAAGAACAGCTTTCAAGGGGTCTAGACCAGAGAAGAAAAGTTCTAGAGTCAGGAGGGTTTTGTTTTGTTTTAAGACTTGGAAAGATTTCAGTGTGCTGATGAATTGAACACAGTCCCAACTATCCCATCACAGAGAATGAAACTCTGATCTGAAGTCAGATTTTAGGAACACCCAGGGAAGTTTGTCAACCTAGCAAAATCCCCATTCAGTTGCTCCCTTGAGCTCTTCAAAAGCACTCTGCATCGTATCCTTTTCTTTTCCTTGGCTGACGTGGCTGTAGCACGATAGAGCTCACCAGCCAATGTTTATGGCTCCCCTGTTATATGCCTGGTTTCCTGGATCACTCCCTCCAGCCAGCCATACCCACCGTTGCCTCCTCTCTGACTGTGAAAGCAATCCACTGCTGACCTACAGAGCCGTGGGCTCACGAATACGTGCTGTTTTAAGCTGCTGAGTTTGTGGTACTTTCTTCCACAGCAACAGAAAACGAATACACCTACCTTCCTCTTTTATTCCCCAGGAAAACCCTAAGAGAAGACCCATTGCTCAGCCATACCCGCTTGGAAAAAAGGGCATCTCTAGAACCGAGCCGCCACACTGCCCTCTGGTGTAGAGCTCCGAGAAAACAGGCGTGTGTAAGCGCAACTCCCTTTCTGAGAAAGAATCTGGTTGTCTCAATCCCGATGAATGAAACTGGAACTATGGATGCCAACCTAGCACAGGAGTCTCTCCTCTTCAGAGTAAAGCAGATCCGACCGAACAGTTCTGCCACCTCCAAAGTTCCCTAAAAGGTGCAGTGAGAAAACTACTGCACACAGTAACACAGCACAAACAATAATAGGGTAAGAAAAAGGACAGCTTTTCAGACTGTCCTCTTCCCCTGCCCAGTCCGTGGTCCAGAGAGTTATGCCAGGCGGCTTCTCAGCTCTGCCCAGCAGCCTGCTCCCCGGGATTCCAGGCCCCGCGGGTGCTGCTGGACTCTACCATCCAAACAGAAGCCCCGGGGGGAAAGAAGCGTGGCTGTCTCCTTAGCTAATCACCTGCCAAGTGAGCTCAGGCTCATTCTAAGTGAAGACCGTCCTCCTTCCCTCCACACCCCCTCTGGCTTTGCTCTTCTCTGTAAGCCCAGCGAACTCAACCTCATTTTGCACACCAGCCTTCCCTCTTGGTAGACCAAGAACCTCAGAGACTGGGAGGGCACTGCTGAGCATTTAGTGAGCTTTGCGCTGGGGGGGGCCCTGTACCTGGCACTGCTAGAATATTTCAAGAAGGTGCAAAGGACCTAGTTTCCAGGCAAATTAGAGTGCATTTCCTCCCCAGGTTCACTCAAGTGCATTTTGATAGTCCTTAAGCCAAGGTGGAGGGAACCGGGTGCTTTTGCATTTTACCTTCATAACAATCTTGTGAGGTGGATAACAGTGTCATCATTTTATGGATGACACTTAGAAAGGTTAATGACTTAGGCAAGGTCACAGTCAATAAACTGTGGAATTGGGATTCAATTTAATCTTTTTAAAAAGTCCTTAGTGGTAGTATGATTTATTTTTAAATAAACTTTTTATTTCAGAACAGTTTTAGATTTACGGAAACATTATGCAGGTAATACAGAGTTCCCGTATACCCCACAGCGAGTTTCCCTTATTATTAATATCATCCATTAGTATGGTACGTTTGTCACAATTAATAAACCAACAGTGATACGTTATTGTTAACTGAAATCCATGCTTTGTTCAGATTTCCTCATTTTTTCCCCCATTCTAGGATCCCATCCAGGACACCACATTACATTCAGTAGTTAGGTCTCCCTAAATTCCTCTTGGCTGGGGCAGTTTCTCAGACTCTTATTTTTTTTTTTTTTTAAAGATTTTATTTATTCATTTATTTGAGAGAGTGAGAGAGAGAGAGAGAGAGCACATGAGAGGGGGGAGGGTCAGAGGGAGAAGCAGACTCCCTGCTGAGCAGGGAGCCTGATGTGGGACTCGATCCTGGGACTCCAGGATCATGACCTGAGCCGAAGGCAGTCACTTAACCAACTGAGCCACCCAGGCACCCCAGACTCTTCTTATTTTTGATGATCTTTAAAATTTTGAGGACTACAGGTCAGGCATTTTACAGAATGTCTTTCTGTTAGGAATTGTTTGAGGTTTTCTCAAGGTTAGACAGGGGTTATGTGTTTTCGGAAGACCATAGGAATTCAGTGGCATTTTCATTACATTGTATCAAGGGCGAATATTATCACTGTTGATATTCACCCAGATCACCTGGCTGAGTTAGTGTCTGCCACATTTCTTCATTGTAAAGTTACTCTTTCTTCCTTCTTTTCATAGGGTACTCTTTGGAAGAAAGTCATGTGCAGTCCAGTCTTACGGAGGAGGAGAGATCTGCTCCTCCTCCTTGACGGTGGAGTATTTACATAAATTATTTGGGATTCTTCCGCACAGGAGGTTTGTCACTTCTCATTCATTTACTCAGTCATGTATTTATATCAGAATGAACTCATGGGTATTTATTTGTATCTCGGGTTATTATCCAATACTACTTTATTAACTGAATTTTCATCTCCTGTTTTTTACAATACATTGCTTGTGGTCTTGATTCAATACCATGGAGGTGATATTTGGCCAGGACCTAAGGTCCCATACACTGGAATCCTTTCCTACCTGGTTCCTCCCTTTGAGGCTCCCAAGGGACATAAATGCCAGAGGACAAGGCCAGGCAGAGGAATTCTCATTATCCTGGATTGCTCTCTGGCCTCTGTCAAAGTATAAATTTCAAAAAGTCAAAAACATAACTCTCAAAAATATAGAATAAACACGTCAAAGATTTTATTTAACTCATTAATTAGCGAGGGAACCAATAAGATTAGAAACAGG